GTGTACTCCCCAAGGAAAGTTTTGAAATTTGAAGCACGGAAATGCCATTTCCTGCATTCTGAGCATCCAAATTTGCTCTAAAATTTATGCTAACTATTCTTGTATTTGTAATAAAAGAAGGGAAAATGCACAAAAAGTAAAAAAGAATATTAACCGTAATTTATCATTACCGATTAGAGGGATAATTCCCAGAAAATTTTTGTAATTTGAAACCCGGAAATGCAATTTCCTGCATTCTGAGCATCCAAAAAATAAAAAATTATTAAGTAAACAATAATTTATCATTACTTGGTGGTAAAAGTGATAAAATACTTCAGATTGATCGCTATTATGAATTTGGTTTATATTATTGTGTTCACATTACATATATTTAACTTTTGAAGTCATATATATTTAACTTTTGAAGGGGTCCAAATCCGCCAACAGGGGTCCATATATACTAGTAGATTTGGACCCCCGGGGGTCCATATCCACTAGTAGATTTGGACCGGGAGGTCCAAATCAACTGCGACACCGGCATGGAATATAGCATAATAGTAGTGGCAATGATAAATAATTACTGTACTGTAGATGATTTAGATCATACTTGAATCTACATACAAGGTCTACTACAGTCAATAGTCTACGGTCAATAATATTGGGCCGGCATGGAATAGCATAATAGTAGTGGCAATGATAAATAATTACTGTACTGTATATGATTTAGATCATACTTGTATGTAGAGATAGAGGCTATATTTAGTTTATTTTCCTCTTCAATTAAGACATTGGCAACGGGTTGAGAAAAGTATTTGCAAATGTCTGATGTAAACTCAATGAAGGCTGGGGACTTCACATCATGGGCAAATATTTTCAGCCTGGCTGATCGGGCACCCTGTTTGAGTCAAGTGAGATACCAGGCTAGCCCAGTAATGGTTGAAAATTTGGCCAACATTGCCATTAGCAGATAATTTGGTTAAATATAAATCAGTGAGTGTTTGCCTTTCTTGTGCTCATTTTTTAATATACGTGTATGAATGTAACCTTAGCACCATTATATTGTTAATACTGGCAAAGAATTAGCATAACATTTTCATTTAATATATATGCAGTCTACAGTATGATTTATAAACAAGAGAGAAATTCGATCTACTGTATAAAGATAAAAAATGCATACCTTGCCTGGAGTTCTTCATAGGAAAGTAGTCCGAATACCATACTTAAAATAAGCAAAATTCTTCACTCTAAAATATAATAACAAATAGACTGTCATTTAGAAAACTATTATAAGAAATATCATCTGTAATACGGATTATAGGTCGATATTTAAATAGATTTTTATATGTGTCTATGATGTTTATATATGCGATCAAATCTATCACAAATCACAATCAATTGAAGTGTAAATAAGTCGCTACAAAATATAAAAATACTCACCGAATATTGCGCTTTATTACGAGAATACGATCCATTTAGTTCAGCGAATAAACGAGACTTGATATATACATAAAATGATACAAAAAATCGGCAAAGACTTGTGTCCCACCGCCAAAAATTCAAATACAAAACATCACACTTCGATGATATATGGGGGGTGGACCTCTGTTATATTAAGGGCGGTTCGGTGCGCTCAATGTGTAACTGGAGTATCATGTAAATCCAGTGAACTGAACTAGCGCGGCCCCTACGCGGAAATTTGCTGAATATATTTATAATTTTATAATTTGTCAGGCGATCATTTTTTAAGTTCGGCTTATCAAGTGGTCTTTCAGAGCAAATTTTAGAAACACTTTATCAAAAAAGCAAAGTTATTTGACGAGTACAAATTTTTCCAAATCTCGCGTAGAAACACCAACTATGAACTATCTATGTTTTGGACTAAACATCGAATACTATAGACTGCACTTGCATCAATCCTTCCTTTAGTTTTTAAGTGGGGTATTTGCCACTAAAAAAGAGTGTACAAAAATTGAAAAACATTGATTGGAAAACCTCACAAAATTCACGCGTGTTTCAGTATACCTAAAAGAGTACACTCTTTTGCCTCGATCTTGGCTTCACCCAATTTATAGTATTTATATTAAATTTGATCACTGATACGACGTTGCCACAACGGCGTCAGAACGACGTCGAAACAACGTCGTTTTTGCGACGTCGATAACTCGTTATCAGAGCGACGTCGAAACAACGTTGATTATACGACGTCTATAATTCGTCGTGAAGGTGACGTCGAAACGACGTCGATATTTAGTCGATCGACGTCTCGACTTCATTTCGACGAAATTTCGACGTCGAAACGACGTCGTGTGCCGGCTGGGAAGTGTTTTATATTTGTATTATTAATATACAAATATTATATTGTTATTAATAATAAGATATTAACAATAATGATATCTTGGTAATAAGATATTTTGTGTTTATATAACAAGTTTTCAGGATTCCAACATTCCAAGAACCATGATTCCAAGATACCGATTTCAGGTTTTACAACTTGCCATCAAATTCATCTGCATCATAATTATATATTCTCTAGAAATCACTAAGTAAATATTAATTAACCAATCTGTGTTTGTTTATCCAATGAAGAAATACTTATCGCGCAGTGAGCGGGCATTCACATGACCATTACATACACTTGGCTTGTTACAGCTAATCCGTCTTATATTTTTTCCATTTAGCACCATGAAGCGTTTTGCGCGCATCGCCGTCGTGTCTTTCCTATTTTCATCCTTGGTTCTCATCGAAAGCGAAGCTGGGGACCAAACGGAACAAGCAAAGGCTGAATCGTTTCTGAAAAATGTCAATACAATCTTGGCGCAGAAGGGCTACGAAGACAGCGTGGCCTCCTGGGCGTACAGTACTAACATCACGGACTACAACTCTGCGGTGAAAGTCCAAGTCAGTCTCGCCTATAGCAAAGCTTACGCAGAAATCCAAAAGAATGCTTCTCGATTCGATTTGAGCAAATTGAAAGAAGACGCCGCACGACAAATTAAATTCCTGCGCAATTCTACAGCACTGAAAAACCAAACTGAACTTAAAGAAGCCGAGAATCTTGGTGCAAAATTGAGCAAATTGTACAGCACGGCTAAAGTCGGCACAGCTTCGTTGAGTCCGGAGTTAGTTAACATCATGGCGAAATCACGCGATTATAATAAGCTCCTTGACGCTTGGTGGGGATGGCGCAATGAATCCGGGCGCAAAATGCGAGACCTTTACAGACGCTACGTGGATTTAACAAACAAAGGTGCGAGAGAGAACGGTTACACTGATCGCGGACAAGCATGGAGAGGAAAATACGAGGTTGATGATCTTGGCGCTATTGTGGAAAAATTGTGGAATGACCTGCGACCATTGTACCTAGAAATGCATGCGTATGTGCGACACAAATTAAGAAAAGTCTATCCTGACAAAGTTGTCGAAGACGGTTACATTGAAGCTCACTTGTTAGGCAACATGTGGGCACAGAGTTGGGTTAATATATTTGATTTAGTGGAGCCTTACAAGAACAAATCTAGTCTGGATGTTACATCGAATATGAAGACAGACCCGCGGTATAATACTGCTGAGAAATTGACCAAATTGGCAGAGGATTTTTTCCTGTCGCTTGGATTAAAACGTCTTCCTTCTGCCTTCTACAAAAAGTCTTTGTTAGAGAAACCAAAAGATCGCGAGGTGGTATGTCATGCTTCTGCTTGGGATTTCAGTTTGTACAAAGATGTGAGGTAAGATGATCTGTTTTTGTTAAAAATACCATGTTTTCCTTCTAAATCAGGAAACGTATGACGTATGTTAGACGAGGAATTCGTCCAGAAACTCTCGCCGTAACATAAATTCGGTCAACAACGTATTTTCCGTCTCAATTTAACTGGCTTTCCCTCTAACTTTCTAGTCCAAACGACGGGGAACGTTAAACGAATTTAATTTAGTCCCGTCTTAGATAAGAAACGCTCTGATTCCCGTCTTAAATGAATTATGCCTATTTCAAACCTCGAACTTTCACGTGCCGTACCTAATGCAAATCCAGGTTTTGAATTGGGTAGTCAAAGATCTTCTCCAGGACCAAGCTCATTACACAGTCCGTTCGGACTTCAAAATCTTAGTAATATTTTTCCCAGCAATGTATCCTTAACACCACTTGTCGACATGTTGAAAACTGTTTTGAACATGTCGACAAGTGCTGTTCAGGATATATATTGCTAGGAAAAATATTACTCAGATTTTGAGTTCTGATCAGACAGTGTAATATGGTTATCACTTAACTTAACTACAAAGATTCGGAGCAGTGCCATTGATAAAACAGTGCAGTATTAACACGATGGTTTATAATTGTGGTAACTACCCTACGTGCAGTTGCATGCACATAGGCTTAATGACCTTAATGCCAACTGGGACTGCACGCAGCAACATGATGTGTCAATATTTGTACGCCTGTCTATCGTGCTAAAATTAGGGATTTATTTTACTTCCTTCTTAATTTACATATAATGTTGAAATATGGCTTCAACGTAACTGTAAACTGTGAATATATTACGCAATTTACGCTATCTTGTATTAAATCGCAAAATGCGAGAATAAAATGAGGCAGTAAGTAGGTCGTTTGCAACTTGCCGCACTCTCTGAAAGTTGAAATATCCCTGCAATATTAATTCTGCTCTTTTGTGCAGCGGTTAGGTTATAACTATTTGTCTATATAAAATATTGCACTCGGAATAAACAAATATCTCAAATATGGTCTAATATGCGAGATGGATCGTGACCAGACTGTGACCTAAACCAGGTAATTATTACACCATTTTAATACTTTCACATTCAACTTTCGCGTCACATCCATCATTCAGCTAAAACCAGTGTATTGGTCTACAACTGAAAATTTATAGTCCTCTTTTGAAACGTCGATCGATCTTATGCTAGCTACCTATAAATCGGTGCGCTCGTTGCACTGAGTTATCTTTCACCCCACGAAGTCGTGCTTCTTGCGCTGAGCCATATAGCCTATGCAATTCAGCCAAGTCGAATGTGAGCAGTGAAGAAATATTCAGTGCACATTTTCTATGAAATAGGTAATGTAAATTACAAGGCACTGACAGACTGGCTGGGAGAGCCTATATAGCAGCTACACGGTAATTGATATGAGTCGACTTGTAGCAAGTCTACTGAAACGTCACTCAGAGAAAGGGCAATCGCTTGCTTCGAGGCAATTGCGCTAGCGCTTGCATCAAAGCAATTGCGCTTGCATCGCAGAACAATAAGGTCATTCAAACCAAAGATCGCTTCTGTGAACTTCAAAGATTGAACTAAATACCTGAATGATTATTATATGAACGACTATTCCTGGGCGGAGTTCGATCAATCACCATGCACAATCTATCTGTACGTAAAAGAAGGAACGAGGAATCGGACAAGGCGGAATGAAATGAGGAATGAAAAGACCGGAACGAAAAAGCCGGAATTCGTAAAGCCCGGAACGGAAACACAAAGATATATCTAAGTGAAAAGCGTGTGATAAAGTATTTAAAGATGCGACATGATGCACTGGCTCACATAGTTCTTCGTGTGTGGGTTCATTATTCTTGACATGGATATAATAAAAACACTGCATGAATAACTGAAACTCGTGATTGCGTGTGATCTTTTGCGGCGTGCTGATGTCCTAACTTTGTTAATTAATTAAAACCGATCAAATCCAACGTAACTGCATGCACATTTAGCAATTTTATTAAAATGTATTAAAATGTATTAAAATACATCTGAACATTTTAGTGAAAAAAACTGATAAAACATAACCACGCGACCCTACGATGAAATATCTGAAATTGTCAGTGAATTTTAAGAAATATTTAAAGCATTAGACGGTGAAACATGATACAATATATTCGTTAAAAAACCCTACACTGGCAATACAAAGTTGATTCAACCGTGATTTCAACTCGCATATTCTAACGAAATGTGTCTTTGGTGATGACTCGGTGTTCCTGGTGATGAAACGGTGCAATATGCGTCACAATTGAAAATTTCATTTTATTAAATCAACGATAGTTTGTGTGACAGATTATTTGGCTGTAAATGACGCAGACGATCTGTATTCTTTATACTCCAGAGTCCAGCCTCCAGGAATACGCAGCTGGGTCAGCCAAAATAAGTGAAATTCTAGAAGGAATCGGTGAATATGTGTCATTTTATCACCTTACTGATTAGTTACTATAGTATGAAACAAAGATGCATTTTGTTGTAGATTTTGCCTTTTCGATTCCTTTACACTTAGATTATTAAGGAATTTGCGGTTTTCAAAATTCTCCTTTTACTCAATCACTACATGGATAATTATATGTGTCATCGCAGTTTCAACACCTTCATTGTGTGACTGCAGCTGGTTTTCTTCCAGGCGGAATTTTGCAAAGCGAAATTTAAGACAAAGAAAAATTTCGCTCCGCGCGAAAAATTTTGCTTAGTGCAAAACCGGCTTAATTTATACGTATACCATGGATATTGATAATTTAACGATAATTTAATATGTATGCGACGCACGTTTTACTAAAGTCATCAGTCTTAGTTTCTCTTTTCGATTTCCTCGCCATTTGTAATTTTATTTTTCATGCATTTATTTGTGTGTATTTGTTTGTAAACGTTATAATGATAAATTATTAAATTCAAAAATCAATTATAGAACCCTGATGACTCGAAAAATTTATTGTTCGAGTTAATGCACAGGGAGCAGAGGAATCGAGTTTATCTAGTAAAACAAGACAAACATCATCTTACCTTGTTAATTCTAGTATATTTCATTTTAGAATCCTAATGTGTGCATTAAAAATGCATATTTATTCATCAAAGTTATCGAATATAAAACCAAAATATGAATTTCAACAATTAATATACTCCGCTGCCTTGAATTACCGTAGACTTGTATTTCCCAAAAAGCTAACGAACACTGGCCGAGATATCAACGAGTAAGAAATGAAGAAAGGGAGGGAACATTGCAGATCTTTCGTCGCATGTGCACCGCAACACCCTATGACGGAAGTGAATAAAACCGGCTATTGACCAATGACGAAGTAGAACTTCATTTGACAGTTGTAATTAGTATTCGAAAAATTTGAATCAATCATCATACATCATCACGAAACAATACGTCACTTCCGTCCTATAGGGTGTTGCGGTGCACATCGTACGCAAATAATCGATGAATATTGGTCGTCAAGTATGTAGGTTAAACGACCGTTTATTGAAATTTATTTCCTAGCGTAGTAAGAATAGATAATTTCTAGCTTGCATACAAAAAATTATGTCTTTTTATGAAATATTAAGCAAGTTATAGCCATCCTAAAATATCACCCCAATGACTGTTTCCTCCCTTTCTTCGTATAGCGAAATGTGAGCCCACAATAATCTAGAACAGCGGAGTATATTCATTTGTTGTTCATGTTACATGAAGTACGAATAAAAAATCATACAAGGCATACAATGTTTATAAACTTTATATGGTTTCACGACAATTTCAACAGACTATAAAGTGTAAAATGAATAAACATGCATTTTTAATGCACACATGGGGATTCTACAATGAAAGATATTACAATTAAGACGGCGTTTGTATTGTTTTACTAGATAAACTCGACTCCTCTGCTCCCCGTGGTTAATGGGGAATTTGAAGGTGTATGATTTCGTTTATTATGTTAATGATTAGCCTCCTCCGCAGGCACCGCCTTTAGATTATCGGGCAAAATTTGCTTGAAGGTAAAAAAAAATTGTAAAGAACGTTTAGGATGAAATGCAGTATATTTTCTTTGTGAAAAACATAGTTTCCGGACCTGACGTCATTTAAGTCATTTTTGTTGCAAGAAACAATAATTGCTTTAAAGAACCAGCATTAACGCGAGCTACTATTCACTAAAATAATTTATTCTATTATCATAGCAACTCAGCAAGTATACTATTATCCTCAAAACAAATGGTTGTAAAAATTTTAGCAATATTATTAATACATGATCTCTACCTTTGGATGCAGGGGCGGATCCAGGGGGTATCGAGCGTAGCTCAAGATACGGCCAGATTTTTCCGATTATGCATACTAAAATAGTTTTCGGGAAAAATTCAATATTAATATATATTCACGCAATTCATTTCTGTTTACAAAAATAGTGAAAATTTGAGTTTACTAAGATGAACGAGGGCAAATTCTTTCGTAAATTTTAAAATTCACAGCTCTAAATGTAACATTAGACGTGTTTTTAAAGCATTGAATTACTTTCGACGAAGATGAGCCGAGAGCTTTCCGAAGGCATAACCCGAGGTTACGTAACCCGATCAGAAAAATGTTTTTAAATGCGTCTGCGGTGTTCTGATACGGTCCGCGGTTCAAATGTTACTAAAAATAGTAACTTAATGAGGTATTCGGATACCTTGTAGGGTATCCAGCCAATCACAGGACGTGTATCTATGACGTCGGATACCCTCTGATACTGTGGCTGTATTTTGATTGCGCAAGAAATGAAATAATCGTGAACCGCTCTGAAACTTCGTCTCATATTGCTAACAGCCGCATTTCTTCTAACGTAACTGAGTGAGTGATGGCCTTACATAATTTCAGAAGACGTCCTTGAAATAACACTTTATAAATAGTGTATTGGATGCCAATTAGAACAAGACTATTACGAAAAGGATATGTCCGAAGGGGCCGAAGTTATGTTGGGCGAAAGGTATGGCTAGTGAAATATATGATATTGCTTGACCTCTCAAAGTTCATAAATCGCTATATTGACTAAAACTATCGTTAGGAATTAGGAGATATTCTTTCAATGAACCGAACGGTAGTATTTTTGTTTTCATAGCATTCGCCTAACCGAAGATATTAATCTGTAAAGTCATATTGCGGCATTGCGCGTGCAATATGTTATTAATTTAAATAGGGACCGGCCGAGAATATTAAATATACTCAGTCGCGAAAGCCGACTTTTCTATGTCAAAACGCCCCCGGCCACGTTTCATGAAACAGAAACTTGAACACTGATACCAAGAAGAGTTATTGTGTGTTTTTTTGTTACTTTGTGTTTAAAATATGACCTTGTTAAGGCCAAATTTTAGGCCAGAATCATGGGCTCAGAACGCAGGAAATGGCATTTCCGGGGTTCAAATTTCAAAAAAATTCCGGGGGGGCATGCCCCCGGACCCCCTAGTTATGCGAGACCCAGGAATATGATACGGTCACATTTTAAGCTAGATCCGCCCCTGGGATGCATCGAACACAAACCAATTGGCTATGCTGTTTTCGTCTCAAAATTCAAATTTTAACTTGCGAACGGCCATACTCAATAACGGGCTGTATGGCCTGTGGAGGAGGTAGTCAGGTAGCCAATTGCACATGTGCTACTCTTTACATTAAAAACAACCAGACGTTCGGCAGTAATTAACTAATTATGTGTGCAGTTGTTTGTTTCACGATCTAAGAATCTCAAGAACCGATGTCAGTTTTATTCAACTTCACATCCAAAAAAAGCGGAAAATTCCGTCTAGTGGAAAACGGCCTTTAAAATTAAAACAGTAATCGTGAACCGGCCGGAAACCGTTTTATTTCTGAATTTTAATTAAAACTGATAGTTGGATTTTTTGTTTTATTAATTAATTAATTAAAAATTTATACTAAAAACAATTTCAAAATTTTCAAAAGAGAGTTTTAAAAAAGGAAGAAAAAGTTTTAAAAGTTAGATTTTCAAAAAAGTTTAAAAAGGTCGGGTTAGGGTTACGGGTTACTGATTAGGGGTTAGTGGTTAGGGTTAGTGTTAGGGGTTAGATGTCACGAATTTATCAGTATGATAAATTCAGAATGTGCCGCGAATTCATCATAATGATAAATTCGGACGTGTTTAAGAATTTACTTATATAGTAAATTCAAAGATGGAGCTCATGCTGGTATCGGAATGCACACTAAAATCTGTCATGTCAACCGCATTAAAATACTGCCTACTCACCATCTTTAACATGCATCCAATCCACTTTTGTCGCTTCAAACCACAAATTACAACATACGACGTTTGTCCTGGATATCCCTCCTCCCTTCGGCTTCGCGTTGCAAACCTCTTCCACAAACCGACTCAGCCACAGATTTAATGTTTCTGCGTTCATACGATGTAATGGTGTAGTCAAATCTTCGACTTGACATATACTGTATCTAAGTTTACTGAATTTGAAGGCCCATTCCTAGCAGTGTTATCTTCTCGGAAACTTTGCCAGTCTTCGAAAACCTTGAAGACCCATTTTGTATTATATCCTGTATTCTGCGGAATAGTACTGGCAACCAAAAGACGCTTTTCCTCTGTTGTCAAAGGTTTTCTGAACCGACTAAATGCGACCTATGGCTATATGCATTCTCATAGCAAAAAAAATTCAGCCTACTCTGGCTGCAATTTGCCTATTATATTAGAGGCACTTTATCAATCAAAAGGAAACAATATAATCCCCAAACACTTAATTCCTTTCGCATCTTACATATTCATTTCACAAGTTGTTTACAACATGAGTGGCCGTGTTGTATTGAATATATTATCACTCGCCTCGTGATTATATATTCAATACTAGGCTAATTCAATATTAGGCTAATTTGGAGTCGTTAGATTATCGCGCAAGCATACGGCGCACGCGACTACTGTATACGTCAGCGCAAGAACAGCCAATTTGAAATTAGAATATTCATTTAGAACAGCTTTAATCAAATAATTGTATTTTTGGATCCAATTCAACTGATCAAACTCTATGAAATGATGGTAAAAAGGAACTCAGGAAATTGCAAACGTTTGCTTTGCTTAACAGCTGAATTTTTTATACTTCTTACATTCGTTCTTTGGTTAGCGACAAGGTCTAAACCTGTACTTGTCGAACTGAACACTGCAAGAATTCCCGGCAAAGTAACGATTTCTGCAGAACTATTGTCAATACCGGAGAAATTAAGTCATATTTGGAGCTCGACCCGCGACAATTCTCTGCGAAAGCCTTCATTTCCATTTAAAACCATTTACCGTTATGGCCTGCAATTCGACATCAAGAACAATAAAGCCCATGTCTTCTTATGTATTCTACTCGCCGGTGATGTAGCTACCAATCCTGGACCCACGAGAAGAAACAACCATCAACCAAACGGCAGCCAAAGTTTTTTCGCGAGATGTCTTGTAATCAACGCTCGAAGTTTAATAAGCTCGCATAGGTTAAATGGTAAACAATCCTGCCACTTGACTAACTTCCAAAACCTTGTGTACACCGAACAAGCGGACATCGTGTGGGTAACAGAGACTTGGCTAAGAGATGACATCGAGAATTCAGAAATACTTCCCTGGAGTGATTATACTATCTACCGTAAAGATCGTAAAACTCGTGCTGGTGGAGTTCTTCTTGCACTAAAGTCTAGCTCCTTTTTGTCATCTCGCGAGATTGTTACTGACAGCGATCTAGAACTAGTTGCAATAGAATTAACATCTACCTGCAACAAGAAATACCTGGCATGTTGTACGTACAAGCCCCCGCAGACTATGAACAGGAAATGGCTGGACGAGTTCAACCTCTTTTTGGCTAATAAGTGTTCAGATTACGCCAATATACTGATATGCGGTGACTTCAACTTTCCGAAGATCTGTTGGGAATCGCCAGAGTTAACAGCCGGCGAAGACGAAGTCCAGTTCACAGAAATTCTGAACGATCACTACCTAACACAAGTAAATCGAGTTCCAACAAGAGGCGACCACATCCTCGATCTCGTCATCAGCAGTGTTGCTGAAAACGTTCAAAATATGTCTGTAATCAGTCCTAGCCAAAGCGGTTTAATAACCGACCACTCAGCAATCACGTTCGACATTGCGACAACGTTCAAAGCACGTCCGAAAATTAAACGATCTGTCTTTGATTATAACCGAGGGAACTTCGACGGACTTCGTGCAACTCTAGAGTCGGTTGACCTTTGCGGTGCAGTCGAGTCAGCAGTGGACATTAACCACGGTTGGTTGAAATGGAAAGAACTATTTCTCAGTGTTGTACGCGACAGTATTCCGATAAAAACCATCAGCAACGTCAATAATCCGCCTTGGATCAACGGTGAGATAATCCACGCTATCAGAAAAAAGGAGACCGTGCGTCGGAAACTGAAAACATCGCCAACGGACGTACTGAGAAACAAGTTCAAGGCTTTGCGATCCAAGGTGAAACGATTGATCACTGAAAGTCGTTGTCAGTTCTTCCAGAACATCAGCGAAGCTCTCTTCAATAATCCCAAAAGATTCTGGTCTGTCTTTAAAATCAACAGTAAACGTGCCAGTGTTCCAGGATCAATGACAATGGGATCAAATGGATTAGATCCTGACTCGGCCCGCTCAGCTTCATGTCCTCGTGACATAGCAGAACTGTTCAACGGCTACTTCTCCTCCATTGTGTCTGGAAGCGACAAAACAACTCAAACGGACAATCCATCCTCGCCAACTGATAGCAACTTGTCAGAGTTAATTCTTTCTCCTGATGATGTTCTAGCTGCACTCCTCAGCCTCGATACCAACAAAGCCACAGGTCCGGATGAAATACCACCAAGAATACTAAAGGAATGTGCTCACCAAATTGCCCCGTCATTATGTCTACTGTTTAATCAATCACTCCGACATGGCTCCTTACCAGAGGAATGGAAGCTCGCGAACATCATCCCTATCCATAAAAAAGGTGATATCTCCAACGTTGAAAACTACCGTCCAATTTCGCTTCTGTGTGTAACATCCAAAGTCCTCGAGCGCTGTGTGCTGAGAAACCTGAGAGATTATCTGATGTCCCTAATTAACTCCGCTCAACATGGTTTCATTCCTGGAAGACCTTCAACCACTAGCAACCCAGCTAGTCGAAGTTTTGCACTACATTGGATCCATTTTAGACTCTGGTAAACAAACCGATATAATCTTCATGGACATGTCAAAGGCTTTTGACAAGGTCAGCCATACAGCTCTGATAAACAAACTCCAACAGTATAACATTGGCGGATCTCTTCTCCAATGGTTCACATCGTATCTACATGACCGCCACCAGCGCGTCACAACTCTTGGCGCTACTTCTTCCAAAAAACCAGTGTGGTCCGGTGTTCCGCAAGGCAGTATCTTAGAAGCAATACTCTTCCTCCTGTATGTGAATGATTTACCAGACGCTGTGACGAACTCGACAGTTGCGTGTTTTGCAGACGACACCAAAATCTTCCGTAGAATTGACTCCATCACCGATGCTATGTTACTCCAGGATGACATCAATAACCTTGAATCCTGGTCCACGTCAAGTGGTCTCGTGTTTAACGAAGGAAAATGCAAAAGTTTTAGCATTACCAGACGTAGTCAACCAATCCATCATCTATATAGCATCAAAGGCAAAGAACTTGCACTTATACCAGCAGAGAACGATCTGGGAATTTGGATTGCAAGCGATCTAACCTGGTCTAAACACATTTTAGACCGGTGTACCCGTGCCAACAAACTCCTTGGATTTATAAAGCGATGTTCTGGGGAAATAAGCGACGCGAGGACCCGCCGGACTCTGTATCTGTCTTTGGTTCGGTCGGTTTTTGGTTACTCGAGCCAGGTTTGGTCGCCTCAAACCGTGACCCTCATCCAACGTATGGAACGGGTCCAAAGAAGAGCAACGAAGTACATTTTAAACCTTCCGTACTTGTGCAGTGAGACTTATCGGAACGACTTGCCAGTTTGGGTCACTTACCGCTATCTTACTGGCACGAATATTTGGATCTCGTGTTCTTTTTTAAAGCGGTGAACGGCTTGGTCGACGTGTCCCATGACGTCCTCCCCGAAGTCATGTCCCAAACCAGAACGACCAGATCCTCCAGTGGCAACCAAATCTCCTTCCGTCCGGCCAAATGCAAAACCTCTACCTACCAACGCTCCTTCTTTATTCAGAACTTGGAACTCTTTACCAACTACACTAAGATCTCCTGACATTAATATTAGGCAATTCAAAACCGATTTACAAACTTACTACCTGACAGCCCTGAGAGAATGCTTCGACGAAGAAGATCCGAGGACATGGAAGACTATTTGTCTGAAGTGTAACACTAGTCGTTACTTACGTTCTGAACTAACTTGTTGTTTTTAGACTCCTGTCCATGTACTGTATGTTATATGTTCTGTACTGTATGTGTATTTTTGTATAGGGCCCACAGTAATTGGTTTACACTGTTGTGGTGTCCCTGCCATTTTTGTCCATGTTTATTGTGTAGATGTCTATTTGCTGTTCTGTTAAGTGTTTTTGGCAAAGTTTAATAAATAAATAAATAAATAAATACAACACAGCCACGAGTCAGTTATAAACATTACGTATAATGCAGGCTAGTACATCTTATAAAAAATTTATTATCTCGGTCTTTCACCAATCTCGTTCCCAGAGCCTGCAATCCTCGGGAAGGAACGTGAAGCTCTGGGATAATCAGTTGCCGGAAGCCAGGAATCCTGGCTAAGATTGAACTGTGCATTCCATATCAACGGCCAATCAGATTCCTCTCTGAAACGGATTATCCCAGAGCCTTACGTTCCTCCCGAAGATCCCAGGCTCGGGGAACGAGATTGGTCTTTCACGTTCTAAGCTATCCTCGTTCCCAGGGCCACACGGCCGCGCGCGACCTTCAACGAGTGACCGAGTGAAAATGGGTCTGGGGACGAGAATGGTTCTAGTCGGTAGTCGGCTTAGACCTTGCAATTACACGCTATCCTGCACCACAGACGCCATTCTAAATCGATAACATAATGCTGGAGATTACTATCCTCGCATTTCGAAAATTTTATAGTGAATGGGAAACGTCAAAATTGCGCGTTATTGCAGTTTTTAATACAAATTTGAAAATTTTAGTCAAATATTTTGTACGCCTAACAATTGGGCTGCCTATTAATATTATTATTATCAGTGGAGTTTTCTGAGCTTATCACTGTATAACTATTCCTAGAATCAAACAATGCGTCGAAATCACGCACAACCATTTGGTAACTTTGCATCACGAACTTGGACACATCCAATACTATTTGCAATACTGGGATTTGCCAATAATTTATCGTACTGGCGCCAATCCAGGATTCCACGAGGCTGTAGGAGACTTGATGTCACTTTCAGTTGATACACCCACGCATTTACAAAGACTTGGATTGTTAAAAGACTACAAAAGTGACGATGGTAGGCTACAATGTAGATTTCAGTTTATCCTAATTTAACAGCAATAGTTCATGTGTTGTTTCGTAGGAAGCGAGATAATGATGTATAGTTTAGTCCCAGAGAATTCCAATAGCTATAAAAAATCCTGGCCTAGATGTTCGTTCTATTTAAGAGTATGGATTTTGGAGAAAAGAAAACGGATGAAAGGAAAAGGAAGATATTTTAATGGAAGAAATTAAGGAACAAATAACTGCTATAAATTATATAAAGCAAGTGTTATTTAAATTCAGAAAGCCAAGTTATATGTATACGTAAATTATAGCAATAAAGAAAATGGACGAAAAAAAGGTTCTGAAAAAATGAACATTACAAGAGCTCACAACATACAGAGATAAAAAACCGCTTGTAATTTAAGTAAAAAGTAACCAAACTGAGTACTCAAAAACGTCAAAACATTTAAAAGATAAATTAATACTAACCATAATTTTACCACTTGCCTGCTATGGGACGTCCTTGTTACTCTTTAATTATTGCCCTAGTTAAGATTGTACATGTTGATCAAATTTTAGAGGCAGATATTAATGCACTGATGAAGGTGGCAATGAGAAAAATAGCATTCCTACCATTCGGCTATCTCATTGACCAATGGCGATGGAATGTATTCAATGGCAATATCAAGGAAACAGAGTACAATTCAAAGTGGTGGGAATTGAGACGTAAATATCAAGGTATTAAACCACCTGTGCCGAGAAGTGAAAACGACTTCGATCCTGGTGCCAAATATCATATCCCTGGTGACACACCTTACATCAGGTTTGTAAGATCAAATGCTTCATGTACACGTTGCTTAACGATAGAATATACGGGAATATATCCAATTTATAATCATTCCCCTCCACTGGCGCAGTCAAACACCCCGCTGCTTTTAATGTTGCAATTGTTTATGAAGCTAGAGTCGTTATAAATTCCTTTTAATTAATCATTTTCCCATATATTGTAAGCGGGAGATGAAGTATGAATAACCAAAAATCCTACAAACGGGTTTTACTTTTAAAATGCCGCAAAAATGTGTTACTGACTTATGTGTGTCAGCTCAGGTTGTTTAGATAATCGCAAACAAGTGAAGCAGAAGCGTAAACATTTGCAACAAAGAAACTCTAACAACGCATTGTAAATACCCCAAACAACAATGAAAAATTATACAATCAATGTTAGTTTGAAGACAACCACAATAGTTCTTCAGAAATTTAATAATCCGTCAATTATTTTCTCATTTTCTCAATAGATATTTCATCAGTTATATCCTTCAGTTCCATTTTCACAAAGCCGCATGTGAAGCAGCGAAGTTCAATGGTCCTCTTTTTAAATGCTCAATATATAACTCTACAGCCGCTGGAAAGAAGATTGCGTAAGTCTTTTCACAAATGTTAATGTTTGTTGTTTTGAATATTCAAATTGAATAGATATATTATTATTATAAAATTTAACATTCAGTTGGATTCATTTTTCCCGGCCTCATGATGGGAACCAGTTTTGGCACCTCAAGTCGAACTGGGGAGGTAACGCTCTCTCCATTTTCAAGAAATGCTACATAAGGTTTCTGTTTGCCGTGCACGAAATGGCTAGGCTTCAGTTTCGCTCGAGTTTATATAATCGCGTATATATGTAAATTCGCGAGACGTTGCTTGAGACCCTAATTGTTGGCAATGTATTCAAGCTTCCAAAACCCAGTGAGCTCCATATATAACCGTAATTTTAAAATAACCTTTCAAAACGCTCTGTATTTCGAAACCGAATACTTACTGGATATACTTACTGTGTTCATTTTCAAATCTTTGTATATAGACGTTTCTCCTGAGTTTCTAAAGTACGGAAAAATATCACACTTCGGCAAGCTGCTCTATTTACTGTTCATGCAGAGTACTCGAAATTTTCGGAACACTAACGCCCATATTCTAAAAGCTCACTCACACTCAATGAGTGGATGTTCAATCTGAGGCGTCTCTTGTGTGCCAATGCTGTTTTTGAATAGCTGGAGGGTGAGTACTCACATAGTAATATATGACACTGGCCCTGCAGCTATTTAAAAGGAGCAATGACACTCAAGAGAAGCTCAGATTGAACTTCCACTCATTGAGTGTGAGTGAACATTTAAAATACGGGCGTAATAGAATCGAACCAACAATGGTCACATGACTGTTCTGACTGCCCCTATACTTTTGAGTAGGTTTGATTCTAGTAGCGCTCCGAAAATCTGAAGTATACTCCAAACAGCAAGTCAGCAGTCTGCTATGAGGCGCCATTTTGAATATACAGTATTTGCTCCAATTAATCCCCAAGTTCAACTCGTTCCATAAAATAATTGTACTCCTCTCGACCAATGGGAATTCGGAAATTTTGTCATGCAATAATAAATAATAATGAATATGATTATGGAACTATGATCTATTGCGTTTAGAATTTTTAAAACAAATGTTATAAGCATAATATGAAAACAAATAAATGTTTACACAATGCACGATATAAAAACAAATAAATGTTTATCAATCGACAGGGCTTTGTATTCATTTTTATAAACCAGAGTAGCGAGTGAAAACATGATTGATATGCTTGGTTGCCGCGAATGAACAAACTTTAAATTAAATACTGTACTTATCATCAGTAATGTAGCCAGCCCGACGATTTTGTCCCGCTATGCAAATATTTCGTGCTCATTGACTGTGAAAACAATCGATTTCCAAAGAAATGAATAATGATAATAATTTTGAATTTGCATAGCGGGACTAAATTGTCGGGCTGGCTCACTGAGCTATAATATATCTAGAGGAAGTGTCCGGCATGAAACAGTGTCGCCAAATACATGGCGGATTTTCACGACTGCTGACGCCAGAATGACGCCACTAGTCCCAAATCCTCGTGGTAATTACCACTGACCAACCGCAATCCTCGGCTTTTGACTGCAATTTCACCCCCCCCCCTGGTTTTTGAAAAAAGCCGGAAACTCTGCTGAAAGTTTATATAAAAAAACATCAAGAAAAAATGCCGAGTTTCTGCATGGCTTCATGATGCCACAATTCTTTAACAAGAAGAAACACTTCTTTTTACCGGTAAGATGTATTGAACTATTTGTACTAAATAAATACCGTTTTTTAAAAGAAAAAATTGGATACGAAATTTACAAATATATTAACGACGCTGTACAGCAGCTAGTATTTTTCTGCCTTTATCACTTTTCTTTATATTTTATTTTGCCATTTGGGCAGGTTATAGTTTTTATTTTCCTCCGGTGTCCTTACCCAAAGATCCAACATCAATTTCACATGCAGTATAGTAATAGAAATGCCTTTAAATGATGGACAAATGGTGTCAATTTTTAGTCCCAACTTATCCTAATAAGGGTTTTAATATACAGGGTGTATAAAAAAAAGCGCAATCCTCGACTGAAATGTAAATTGCTAAACAAATAACAGACGAAAACGTTAAAGTTTACATTCATTTTAAAGTGTAGCCATTCAGCTTTCTAACAGTAGGTTGTTTCTTAAATTTGACTCATTGGTTCGCGGCTAATAATACTTTACGTTATTGCGATTGGAGATTAAAAAAATTGAGATGGAATAACAAATCGTTCTCATGAAAATAACTGATTTTTTCATTAAAACAAAAAATGTTGCATTTTATTAAATGGATTGTAACAATAAGTATAATTACGGCTTTTCTTCCACTATTTTTAACTCAGTTTGAAACTTCGAATGCGATATAATTTTGGCTTGGACCATCTAAGCTGACTGACATCAACTTGCTATAATTTCTGTTTACATTACATCGCAATTCGATGACACTCTGGCTCAGACACCAGAATGTTTTGACGATTTTTAGCATTCGTTTAGGATTTTCAAACAACCTGGTCTCTTTTTAAAATACTTTTAATTTGTTCTTACGTGGTTTTCCAGATGTAGTGACGACAACATTAAAGTTTAAAGAAGAAAATTCTAACATTTAAACCGACTAAACAATAACATAGTAAACTTGCGTAATTAAACAGCAACTAAAAATGATAGGTTTTACTAAATCTTTTCCTGTGCAATTATTACTAGCATTGGAGACAAGGATAATAGTTTGTTTGAAAGAGAAAAGAACAGGCTTTGAAGTAAGCCTAAAAGCGTTTAACTAGAAATAGTATTTCGAAAGTTATTAAGCACAAAAGATGAATTGCGTTTATTTTGATACACCCTGTATTGTCATAGGAGGCCCAATATATGGTTGTAATGGGCACAAAAAAGATCAAAACGTTCCTAACAAGTGTCTCTGTAGGAGTAAGTGTTGAATAAAAGCTTGCAAGGCTCACACTACAATTTTGAGTTGTGATTTTAATAGGCAATTAATAATGTTAATCTTTTTTCATGGCTAACATAGAGGGCCTAATAGACGGTTGTACAAGTAAAGTTTATAGTTCATATATAAAAACATTAAAAAGGCCAGCAAATAGACACGAATTTTTCTTGACGAATATGAGTCAATATAGGTGGGAAGAGATGCCTAATTTACAACACTCTAATTTATATGTCTGAAATGACATATTTTAATATTTGAAAGGAAAAAAATAATATAATGTTCAATAGCAAATTATAAAAATATATAATATGTGACTGATTGGATGTATTCTGCTACACTTTTCCAGATGCCAAAAAAATCCTGAGATGTGTAGAAAACTTAAAGAAGAATGCCCTGGTTAAATGTTATGCCACAAAGGGGAATCACCTTTTTCGAAGCAATTAGTATAATATTCCACTTAACCATTGAGTGACAGCACTCTCCACTTGACGAGTAAAATCGTCTGGCGTTAGACAGAGTAAAATACTAAAGTGGGGTGCATTGCCACTAATTAAAGGGTTAACTCAATTTCAGCACCAGCACTCTCCCCTTCACAAATAAAATTGTCTGCCATTGACAAAACAATAAATTGGGGTGCATTGCCACTTATCAAAGGCTTAACAGGATGCATAGACATCAGTCATGCACATTGGCATCAAAAGGGATAATAGGTGCCCACAGCAACTCTCTTATTCTCTTGGGGTGGGGGGGGGGGTAGGTTACACTCACAAATGCATAATTGAAACAATTGGCTGGTTTGACATTTTAATTGATAATTGCAATATTTTCACACTGATTTTGTAATTTGTTAATTTTAGGAATTAAAGTGTATATGACATGAAATTTCTTATTTTCTTAAATGAAAGAACTCTTTGAGTTATAGTGTAACTTATTTTTCAGTTTCTTGTTTTCATGGTTTGTCCCTGAGATATTTCAATTTGTTTGATATGTAAATGAATGTGAATATGTCCGCTAATTTATGACGACATGTTGGTTGCAAGCTCAAATTACACTGGTTATAAAATGTAGTAACTCTAAAAACTGTTGATATCAGTTCACGTTTTTCTCCAGGGTTTCATCACATTTACCAGTGAGCGAAGTTAGAAATTATCATCTTGGATGATAGCAGTGATATTCAACCAATTTTAAAGAGCTTGCAACCAAGATGACGTCATTAATTAGCGGACATATTCACACTGATTTACATATCAAACAAATTAAAATATCTCGGGAACAAACCATAAAAACAAGAAACTGAAAATTAAGTTGCACTACAGCTTATAGAGTTCTTTCATTTAGGAAAATAAGAAATTTCATTTCATATACACTTTAATATTACACTAAAACAACCAAATATTTTATATAATAATTGTGGTGGTTATTGTTCGGCACTGGATCCCAACAATAATAATAAATAATAACATTCAACTGCTATTAATCCAACAGAATATTACACATGATTGGGGTACACATAAAATTCTTGCTAACAATAAGTTTACATGATCCTTGCCTGCACCCGACCCCCCCCCCCCCAACCTTACTGGCCCTCATCCTAAAGGGTAAGGCCACCTGTTTGCACAAAGCCGGTCAGAATGGCTCTTGAAATTCCACTCATTTGAACTCAAGGTTTAGGCAGATATATGCTACTAACTCTTGACAACTGGGCCCGAGGGCTTGCTGGAAAACTGAAATTTATTTTGTATCATTTTAGCATGTTGAAAGAATGAGGAAAATAGTTGAGACAAATAGCATGTAAATATTGGGGTTCGGTGTCAGGCGAACAACCACTGGCACTGTGTAAAATACTTTCCTCCAAAAATGCATGAATTACCGACATCAAATATCATCAAGAAATAAGAATGTTTCATTTTCGTAACCCATTAAGCTGCAGAGCTTCTCCATTGACGAGTGAAATCGTCTGGCGTTAGACTGTAGACAAGTAAAAAAGTAGGGCGCACAATAGTTTTTGGATCTTGATAGACTTGACATAATTCTACACATTATAATTTCATTGCCACCATGTAGTGGCCAGTTACATGGATTAAATTATTCAAAATTATTCAAACGCTTCAACAGTTTTTGGATCTTGATAGACTTGACATAATTCTACACATTATAATTTCATTGCCACCATGTAGTGACCAGTTACATGGATTAAATTATTCAAATGTCTTCTTCTATAAGTACAGTATACCAATATAAAAGAAAGCACTTTAATTTTACTAAGCAGTATCATGAAGCAGACGGTGGTCAACTGGAATTTTATATCGTAAAATGTAAAATAACCAACAAAACTAAAATCTGAAATTTCAACATCTTCTTTCGAGGCAAATTGTTTCTCATATTAATATAGTTTGGGTAACCTAATTGTATACATCAGTTGCTAAAATTGTCCAGTACACAGTACCAATAGGCTGTTTATTTGAATTATTTCGCTTTGTTTTGACCTACTCTATCACAAATTATTATTGAACATTTGAACATATAAACAGTATAGTTTTACCTTTACAAATAACGTATTTCCAAAATTTCTTGCGGTTTGAATATTCGTTCCCTGTCTTTCACTAGCCAGGATGATTCCTGCCACTTGTGCAACTGGAAACAAATGTTAAAATTAGTCCAGGACCTGTATTATGAGTTTGTATGCATTTCATTTAGGCAGTGGCGTAACGTTATATCAGGGGGTCCCCCGTTCAAACTTTTCGAAGGCCCCCATAGTATAGAAGTGCCAAAGGCACAAGTCGAGCACCGTATATGCACGAGTTTTCTAGTGGGACCAGGGCATGCTCACCCGGAAAATCTTTGAATCTAGACTCTCTGAAATCCCATTTCCCGAACTCTGGGGAGAGATTTTACACTGAGAATTTTGATGGTCAGAAAACGGCATTGTTGCTCTATAGGCTATAGCCTGAGCTTGGGGGGCCCCATTGGGGTTTGGGGACCCCGGGTTCTCCCGGTCCGAGCTAGTTACGCCACTGCATTTAGAACAGATAATCTGAACTGTTTTAGGGCAAGTTGACCATGACGGTCAACATGGCCCGAACCCCAATCCGGGACGAAACGTCCGAAACTGACCACACCCGAAAACGACGCTTTCGCCATAGTGCTATCTACCAAACCATAAAAGCTTTGGCTATTCTGAGGTGCTTATATGGTTCAGAGATGGTGGTTTCAGGGTGGTTCTTGGTAAATGTGAAATGCCTAGCACTGATATTTCACAAGAAAATGACCATGCAATACTCATAGTCAAACGTCAATTTGCGGCTTACAACTTCAAATAAACAGCAGTGGATCTACATTACCTTTTTTCCTAAACCTTTTTGATAGAATCATAATAGGTACTTATGTAATTATATTATCACTGTTTTGGTGTAAAATAGTTAATATTTTGTAACCGAAATAATAATTTGAAATGTACATACCTCCTGCAAATGGACGTATTTGGCCAAATTCTCCACTTTACTCCGCTGTTTACGGCCGATCTCGTTGAAATCCTTCCAAGTATACAATTCAGCTCAAACATAATG